ATATGTACATTTAGAAAAGAAGGCAATATGGTGAATATCATCATTTAATGAATACTTTGAAAAATGTTCCTGTAAAATGGTTTGAATTTAGCCGACGGGCTTGCGAAACGCTTGAAGAATTACTAAATATAAATAATAAACAACAAGATTTATTTGCACCAGTTCTTCTCACGGCTATTACATAAACTAATAAATATTACACCAAAAGCAGTGTCTAGCATTAACTGCAGACGGAACGGATCACGTCGTTGCCGTTCGCAAAAATTTTCTTCCTCGGAAGAGAGCGTACGGTCAGCTCTGTCCCGTCTCGCTACAGCTCAAAAGCAGCGGACGGGTTATAATATTTATGTTTAATCGTCGCGCGGATTAATGCGTTGCGACGCGACGCGATGTGATCCGTCTGGTGGACGCTTACCGTAATGACTATATACGTATTATATTTTATATTTTTATGTGTGCTTATTTTGTTAATTAGGTATACATATATTTATTATACACTGGTTATTGCCCCCGTAACTTGATTCGCACGGGATTCGATTATATTGCAAACTCTCGTATTATATACATAGTAGATTAAACAAAATGAATTATAACCCTCTTTCTCCTTTAAAAAAATCCTTGAAACCGCGCAAAAAAGTATTGAAGGGTGGGGGTTTAGGGAAGTTAAAATATGTGATTATAGGTATTTTTGAATGGAAAATCTGAAAAGTATAAAAACAATGTAAATATCTCCAACAACGCCACCTATTGGATCCAAATTTTTCAAGCTGGAATCAACCGTGTTAGGATTAAATATAACATTCGATCAAAAGTTTATATAGTCTATCGAAACTGGTAGACGCGGATCACGATTTCGACTGTGTCGTGCCTGGTCAGCACGTCGTAGATATTTCCGATAGAAGACAGACCAACTTTACCTGTTGCCTTTATTAGGCAGCGTTTTATCAATTACTACAAATAGCGCGGCCAACGCCATCTATAGTATATTCAACAAGGTCCATAATGATGCCAACTTGAGGAGTTTATAATCCATAGCATAGCTAACCCTACGTGATATGCACGTAAACCATATAGAATTATAAGTTCATATAGTAGTGAATTTAGTTCATTAGTGAATTAATTTTTTTTAATAACTTAACCCACAACAGATAACCCCGTAGCTTAGTGGTAGAGTACTGGTGCGTAAAACCACGAACCCGAGTTCGATTCCCGACGAGACGACAATTTTCCTCGTTAATTGTAGATTATCTGTAGTAAGTAAAGTTAATTAAAATTAATTCAGTAATGCATTTAAATTTCACCAGGATCGGACTGGTCATAAGGGAGTTTGGCAGAGTTCGCCCTAGGCCCCCACACGATACAGATTCCCTATATACCTAAACATAAGCCTTTTAACCCAATCTAAAGATATAAAATATAATTATTTTTTTATCTCCATCCTAACGCTTAATATACAAGTAAATTTTTAAAAACTTTACTTCTTAACGATAAACTTTTGATTACGAGGGTGGATTGATAAGTTTCCGGCCTGACCAAGAAAAACAAGGTTTTTAAAAATTTTTTTTTTTTATTTCTCAACATAATCTCCAAGGCTGATACATTTCTCATAGCGGTGTTCCAGTCTATTAATGCCATCTCTATAGACTGATTCGTCAAGCTCCTCAAAATAACCATTTACAGCTTCGATTACTTCTTCATTGTCCGCAAATCTCTTACCGCCAAGCCATTTTTTGAGATTAGGGAACAGAAAATAGTCACTCGGGGCTAGGTCTGGAGAGTAAGGAGGGTGCGGCATCAATTCAAACTTTAGATCGTTGATTTTAGCCGTCGCAACGATTGACGTGTGCGCTGGTGCGTTATCGTGATGAAACAAGATTTTTTTCTTCGCCAGATGAGGTCGTTTAATTTTCACCTCGTGGCTCAAACGTTGCAATAAGTCTGCGTAGTATTGACCAGTGATAGTATTACCCTTTGCAAGGTAATCAATGTATATAATACCTCTTGCATCCCAAAAAACAGTAGCCATAACCTTGTTCGCCGAAAAAATTGTTTTTGCCTTCTTTGGAGTTGGTTCCCCTGGTCCAATCCACTGTTTAGACTGTTCTTTGGTTTCAGGAGTGTAGTGGTGGACCCACGTTTCGTCAACGGTTACGAATCGACGCAAAAATTCGCTTGGATTACGCTTATACAATGACAAATTTGCGGTAGAAATGTTTTTTCGAATCAATTTTTGGTCGACTGTTAGCAAACGCGGCACCCATCTTGCACAGAGCTTTTCCATATGCAAATGTTGGTGCAAAATATGTTGCACACGTTCATATGACATCTTACAGGTCTCAGCTATCTCACGCACTTTCAATCTGCGGTCTCCCAGCACTATTTGATGAATTTTTTCGATCATATCTGGAGTTGTGACCTCAACGGGGCGTCCTGAGCGAGGCCCATCAGAGGTGCTCACACGACCCTTTTTAAACTCGGAAACCCACTGCTTAACGGTTGAATATGACGGGGAGGATGTCCCCAGTGTTGAGTCCATCTCTTTTTTAATTTCCTTCGGCGTTAACCCCTTCAAATAAAAGTATTTGATGACAGCACGATTTTCCTGCTTTTCCATTTTTACGAAAACCACAGAGGCGTCTTGTTCAGCGTGCTGTCAAACCTACACTAGCAAGGAGATCGGGCTGAAACTATAGCTACAAGCTATCCAAGGATGGTACTATAGAATGTCACCTCAAGGTAGGCCTAGTGGCGTCATCTCTTGGTTAGGCCGGAAACTTATCAATCCACCCTCGTATATTATCAACTGCAGTATTTTCTAAGATATCTTTCTCTGATACCATTAGCATGAATGCTTCTACCTTTAAAGGCCCTTTGACTCCTGGAATTCCCGGGGGCCTTTCATAGTCCTAGTTCGCCTCTGAATTTAACCCTATAAAAATTCAAAGTGTCACTGTTATTAACTCATTTAGTTTTATGTAAGGTACTCTCCGAAATAACCCCAAAATTTATGATGTGGTCCTATTGTATATTAGATATAAAAAAATATTTAATCACTGGCTTGAGGCAGTTAAAATCAATGAAAAATCATTTTAATTTATACATATAACCCTGAGTGAGTGTAATTAATTTCACACTGACATAATTATGCACCCATGTGTGTTTTAGTATTACGAAAACATTGCTTTTTATTTGTCCTCCTCTACCATTAGGCACCTTACTTAATGAAACCACCAAGTGCAAAATGATTGTACGTACATATATGTTGTAGAAACCACATTGTTGAGCAACGGACATTGTTCAAAGTCTTATTTCAAATTTCAATTAAATACACATTTTCGCAACAATATTTCGCATCTAATTATGTTTATTTATTAAAAGAAAAATTTTTCGAACAGCCGAAAAAGCTGTTGCATCGTGCGAGAAAGTCACCTTCGAATCCTGGAGAGGATTTTTAATACTTGTAATTAAAAGGCGAAACTTTCCGATTGGTACTTACCATAACTATCTAAACTTTGTCCCTGAAAGCCGCGCATACTTAACAACGAAGTCGTCTTAAATTTTACCGTTGGATAATTAAGTCACTTAAATGAAGTTTTAATAAAGAACAGAAGAAGGTTCAGAATCCGTCAACAACCTTTTAAGTTTTACGTCCTCACTTACTGTTCTCAGAAACAGTTATTCTCCTTTTTACATCTTATGTTTATGCCCCTCTTAAATTTTGTGTAAATAACCAGTTAATTTTGTTAATAAAGTCAAGTTTTCCGTTGTTAAGTAATGTTATTTTTGCTTTGTTAACCGTTAAAATATTTTTAAAATAATAATGTGCTTTCGTTTGTTTCAGCAATACTACATAGGATTTCCGTTGGTATCGGAAAGCTGAAAATTGAAGGGGTTGCAACATGCCAGTATTTGTGTATGGATAATTGTGGTCTACTCTATGGATCGGTAAGTGAATTTTGCGATATACACGTATTGGCTATAACCCACGAAGACAGAATTGTAGTGGCGGCGAATATCATTTTATTTTAATGTAAATAATAGCAATAAATATGACTAAGTATGTCTAAATGCGTTAACTAGTAGAAAGGGTGATTGGGAGAGGTTCAGTGCCCAAACGCGACCAAAATCGTTTTCAATAGGAAGTGCTGTGACGTGAAATTTAAAGTTCATTAGAATTTTTTGCGTCACAGTAGTTCAGAAGTAAATGAGTTCAAATAAGTCAATACCTTTTACAACAATCGTGTTATTATTTTTAGGGTTCCGTACGTCCGAATGAAAAACGGAACCCGTATAGGATCACGCACATGGATATACTGGATCGATCAAGTTGAAATTTAGTACACTTATGAATTTCTGTTACCTAAACACGTACGCATAACGTAAATAAATTATTCTGAACATGGGAGTCAATTAGGGGGACCAATAGGAAATTAAAAAGAAGTTTTGCAAACTGTACCGTGTGACATATCAAATGAAAGGGCTTGTTGTAAGGATCTCAAATATATATTTTTTGTAATTTTAGTTATTTAAAAAATTAGATGAAAATTGACCATTCCCTCCCTATCTCCGAAACTACTGAACCTAAAATTTTGAAAAAAATATAGAAAATAGTTTTGAACATGGGAGTCATTTTGGGGGACCAATAGAAAATTAAAAAGAAGTTTTGCAAACTGTACCGTGTGACATATCAAATGAAAGGGCTTGTTGTAAGGATCTCAAATATATATTTTTTGTAATTTTAAAGTTATTTAAAAAATTAGATGAAAATTGACCATTCCCTCCCTATCTCCGAAACTACTGAACCTAAAATTTTGAAAAAAATATAGAAAATAGTTTTGAACATGGGAGTCATTTTGGGGGACCAATAGAAAATTAAAAAGAAGTTTTGCAAACTGTACCGTGTGACATATCAAATGAAAGGGCTTGTTGTAAGGATCTCAAATATATATTTTTTGTAATTTTAAAGTTATTTAAAAAATTAGATGAAAATTGACCATTCCCTCCCTATCTCCGAAACTACTGAACCTAAAATTTTGAAAAAAATATAGAAAATAGTTTTGAACATGGGAGTCATTTTGGGGGACCAATAGAAAATTAAAAAGAAGTTTTGCAAACTGTACCGTGTGACATATCAAATGAAAGGGCTTGTTGTAAGGATCTCAAATATATATTTTTTGTAATTTTAAAGTTATTTAAAAAATTAGATGAAAATTGACCATTCCCTCCCTATCTCCGAAACTACTGAACCTAAAATTTTGAAAAAAATATAGAAAATAGTTTTGAACATGGGAGTCATTTTGGGGGACCAATAGAAAATTAAAAAGAAGTTTTGCAAACTGTACCGTGTGACATATCAAATGAAAGGGCTTGTTGTAAGGATCTCAAATATATATTTTTTGTAATTTTAAAGTTATTTAAAAAATTAGATGAAAATTGACCATTCCCTCCCTATCTCCGAAACTACTGAACCTAAAATTTTGAAAAAAATATAGAAAATAGTTTTGAACATGGGAGTCATTTTGGGGGACCAATAGAAAATTAAAAAGAAGTTTTGCAAACTGTACCGTGTGACATATCAAATGAAAGGGCTTGTTGTAAGGATCTCAAATATATATTTTTTGTAATTTTAAAGTTATTTAAAAAATTAGATGAAAATTGACCATTCCCTCCCTATCTCCGAAACTACTGAACCTAAAATTTTGAAAAAAATATAGAAAATAGTTTTGAACATGGGAGTCATTTTGGGGGACCAATAGAAAATTAAAAAGAAGTTTTGCAAACTGTACCGTGTGACATATCAAATGAAAGGGCTTGTTGTAAGGATCTCAAATATATATTTTTTGTAATTTTAAAGTTATTTAAAAAATTAGATGAAAATTGACCATTCCCTCCCTATCTCCGAAACTACTGAACCTAAAATTTTGAAAAAAATATAGAAAATAGTTTTGAACATGGGAGTCATTTTGGGGGACCAATAGAAAATTAAAAAGAAGTTTTGCAAACTGTACCGTGTGACATATCAAATGAAAGGGCTTGTTGTAAGGATCTCAAATATATATTTTTTGTAATTTTAAAGTTATTTAAAAAATTAGATGAAAATTGACCATTCCCTCCCTATCTCCGAAACTACTGAACCTAAAATTTTGAAAAAAATATAGAAAATAGTTTTGAACATGGGAGTCATTTTGGGGGACCAATAGAAAATNTTCTGTTTTGAAAGAAAAACCTATATAATTGTTTAACAGGCAGGTGCTTATTAATTTACAACTTATAAATTTATAGTTCGTAAATACTTAGATTACATAATAAGTATACGTATTATAAACGACGTCGACGTTGACAGCGGAAGATTATAAAAAAACGGTTATTTATAATACCATCTGATTTATGTTTTTTTATTTATCACATTGAGCAATTAAAGTTACTACTTTACTTTAGTAATCTTACCAACAATAAAATCTGACTTACTTAGTCTGTTTAATATTAAAATCGAGGTTAAAGAACTTGCTATATGGTTAACTAATTTTATTTGTAGACCCTAAATAACTAGTTATTCCCATTAGTCCTATAATTTTGATAAGACCCGATAGTGCTACCAAATATCTTGTTTGTCGCCGTATGACACCTATTAAGTATGCTTAATGCTGTCATTTTTTTTCCCTTTATTAAACTGTGGAATTAAACGTGACGTTTTCCAACAAATATCCGAAAGTAAAGATGTTTTAGAGAAACTGCTTCAAGTATCGAATTCTTTTACGTTTTTTTCTTTTCACGATGGATTTAATTCTGACAGAGCGCACCTAATAAGCATGTTATTCTTCGTTCGTCTACAGTCCGTCTACTAGTACGTACCTAATACAGAATGAAAGATATTAATTTATCGAAAGCAGATCGTACCTGTATTAACATAGCTGTGGTATCGCATCGTGCATGCAAATTTATTAAGTACCTTACTCAGAAAAAAATAAATCTTTCCGACATTCTGAATATATAATCGCTTTCATTAGTGTGCTAACACAATAATAATAACAAAAGCACGTCGGCTGACATCAGCCAAACTAGCCTGACATCAAGATAATTTGACTTTTTAAAATCAACTCGCATTATCACACGAATGAAATCCGAGAATAATACGATTATGATGCTTTTCAGCTGTTTAGGCAACATTTAAAGGATTCATTATTCATTATCGACGTGTCGAACTTTTTTTATTCATTTTAAGGTCCAGTTGTTAAAAGAAGCTCAAGGTTCACTTATGCAAAAAGAAATAAATAATGGAAAATATAGGGTTGTTCGGAAAGTCATTTCGTTTTTTTTGTGGAAATGAAAGACAGTTTTCGTATAATAAACAAATACTTNGTCTGAAGATAACGTAGTAAATCTTTCAACAAAACAATATTGTTTGTACAAATTTACATTTGCAGTTTGAATGTAGATGATAGAACTACAATGTTAAGTTGGTTCTCGGGTTAGGGTTCCGTAATGAAAATCGGAACCCTTATACGATCAGTCGTGTGTCTGTTTGCCCATTTTTGTAAGTAATATTTAATGCAGCCAGATTTAATTTTCTTTATCGATTGTTAGAATATTTATCCTTTAATCTATTAATTTCCGGGTAATAATTGCATATATTAGTTTTGAACATACGAGACAGAAAAGTTGTAAGTAATTAGAGCTTTTTAAAATACTTCCTCGTTGTAAACGATGACGGGTTATGCTCGTCTGCCTTGGGAACAGAATTCACTGAACCCGTCGTAATTTTCTAGTCTTTGTCGCAACTCTTTTATCAATTAAACAGGAGGAGGAGTTGTGTAGTAGAAACGTTGCAATTTGATATTCGTCAAGTATCAAAGCAATTATGCTCATTAGGTTCTCCACTGTTTAAAAGTTAAGAATTGATGTGTATTTTTTGTTCGCACGCGAACTAACATTTAAGTAGGCGGAAGTAATTCGTTTGTCATTCAGGTCTGTAACCGCTCATTAAAGGCGTGTTTGGCGAAGATTTGAATATCGATAACATCATGATAGTATGCTCGAGCATACCTTATACAATATCAACGTATTTAAATGTTAGCAGAGGCGGCTGTGAAAACGAAAAAAAACTTTTCTTCATTCAAATTTACATATAAATATACATTAGGTAGTTATAAGTACGTCTACATAGATACTATTATGTACTTCGCGTCCTGCTGCTACGTATGTATATGCAAAAGAAACAAATATCTCACAAATTATTCTTATAACACGTATCAAAATCCTTTTCTTGGTAGTTGCTGTAACGCCGACGTAATTTTGTTTGTCATGTTAATTTTATTAACCTGCCAACGATTTGATTAAGTTATAAATAAAAGCGGTAAAATAATTCAATGGAAAAGATAGAAAAGGGGAGCCCTATCACTCTTATCTTAATGCCCTCCATAATTACGTCGATCCGGCGACAAAGTTAAAGGGTTTCGAGGATTATCTCAACAGGGTGCAGTAAAATTACGCTGACATCGACCCGATTGAAGAACGCTCACGCCTCTCCTTTAGCATTCTTTCACCCCTTCGGAGCACACACTTCTCACTTAAAAATCAACATTAAACGATATTTATTGCAGACCGTCTATAGCACACTAACATACCTAATAAAAAAATATATTTTGACAAAAAAATACCTGGCAGGTGCCAGTATCGACTCGCGCGTCGAGAGATTTCTACCTCCTTAAATAAATTGTTACGCTTATAATGAATGATTTCGAAAACTTCGTCAATTCATCGCGTTGATATAAATACAATAAAACGTGGTTTATAAGAACCGGCGACGTAATAACCGAGTGTCGTTATTAACGAATTTACAAGGCAAACCCAAACACGTAATTACGGGGTCTATATGGTAATAAAATATTAATAAATGTCAACAATTAATGTCAACAAAGGCATTTACATTAAAGGTAGTGCTAACT